TCCTATCATCGATTTCATCGCAGCTGGTATGTTCAAACTATTGGATAATTAATAGTGTTCCTCACTTCTAGTTCCTAGACAAACAGTTGAAATCCGTTCCACGCGAGACGATTTCCCAACAACTGCTGGATGTAGGATTTAACAAGGAGAGACAGTCCGAACCAGTCGGTGGATTGTCCGGTGGCTGGAAGATGAAGGTATGGTCAGGTTAGTCGCTCCGTATCATACTGATCAAACGGATTAAATAGCTCGAGTTGGCAAGGGCTATGCTCTACAAGGCCGATTTATTGCTTTTAGACGAACCTACCAACCATGTAAGCAGACATAATAATTCATGCTTTGACATTGGGAAGCTCACCTGAATCTAGCTCGACCGAGGCTCAGTACGGTGGCTAGAAGACTGGCTCAAGGCGCAGCCGAATGTCACTTGTCTTGTTGTCAGTCACGACTCAGGATTTCTCGACAATATTACAACCGATATAATACACTATGAGGAGAAAAAGCTGGTATATTACCCAGGAAATCTTTCCAAATTCGTCGAGATCCACCCCGAGGCAAAATCTTATTATACTCTAGCCGCCACCTCAATTAAATTCTCCTTCCCTCCACCTGGCTCATTGATGGGTGTCCGTAGTAACACTCGGGCCATCTTGAAGATGAAGGACTGCACTTTCACCTACCCTGGACGGCAAACACCTAGTTTGATCGACGTCAGTTGCGCTCTGTCATTGTCAAGGTGAGACCTGTTGAATTTACTTGGCTGAACTCACCAGGTACATATAGTCGTGTGGGCATCATCGGGCCAAACGGTGCAGGTGATAATTTTATTCTCTTACACAGTTGACCACCTTTACTCACGCAGTCATAGGGAAGAGTACTCTAATCAAGCTTTTGACGGTATGTGTGATCGTTTGTTATATTTCAGCTGTATGAACAACCCACCTAGGGAGAAACAAGTCCACAACAAGGAACCGTTTACAAGCACCCGTCTCTTCGTGTTGGATACGTTTCTCAGCATACGACTCATCACATAGGTATATCTTTCTCATCCGGAGCATACTTCTCATGATATAACATATTATTTCCGCAGATAAGCACCTAGAGAAGACGGCGATTCAGTATATGTTAGTTCCCTTATACATTCCCGATACTGGCTCCTAACCCTCTTGCAGCCAATGGCGTTATCAAGACGGACATGATAGTAAGACTTTGTTGTGTCGACATAGTGTCCACCTTGACTATCCAACTAGGGGAGCTATTGGAAAAGAGCACCCGAACTCTTACGGAGGAAGAGCTCAAAGTTCTGGATCAAGACTTTGTTGGTCGAAATGGAGAAAAGCGAAAGATAGAAGTATGTCATATTAACCTCTATAAATGAGTTTATTGATGGTCCACTAGTTTATAATGGGTCGACAAAAGCTCAAAAAATCTCTCCGATATGAGATCAAGTGGCGAGGACTCGATCACAAATGGAACACATGGCTTCCACGTGAAGAACTACTAGAAAAGGGTTTTACTAAGCTTGTTCAACAATTCGACGATTTAGAAGCATCCAGAGAAGGAGCTGGCGCCCGAGAAACAACATTGTTAGCCGTGCGGAAAATGCTTGAAGACGTGGGATTGGATGGAGATATCGCACAGTATAATGAAATGAGCGGTTTGAGCGGTGGACAAAAGGTTAAAGTGGTTATTGCTGCATCACTGTGGAATAATCCCCAAATATGTGTACTTGACGAGCCAACGTACGTGTTATCCCCAATTTGATGTGAAGTCCAAAGTACTCATTAAATTATAGGAACTTTTTGGACCGTGAAGCTTTAGGCGGTCTCGCAGTCGCTATTCGTGATTGGGCCGGTGCCGTCGTAATCATTTCGCACAACGAAGAGTTCGTCGGCGCCCTCTGTAAGTATTACTTTGCTATACTCGAGAAGCCACTGATGAACCATTTAAGGTCCAGAAATCTGGCAGATCGAAGCTGGCCGAATGACCCATAAGGGGAAAGCTGCCGTTGTCGATGATGCATTCCTCGATAAACCAGGGAAATGGAGTACGGGCGTCAACACGCCAGCAGGCGGTTCTAGAGGGCAGACACCCGCAGCTTCTGCGCATGCTACACCTGCAGCCAGTGGTGACGAGGGCTCAAAGCCGAATTCCGGAGTTGCGACACCAGCATCTGGAGTAGTGAAAAAGAAAAAGAAGCTGACAAGAAACGATTTAAAGGCACAAGCTGAGCGACGAAGAATTCGCAAACTAAACTGGCTTACCTTTGGCGGCCCTAAGCCGGAAGACACGGATAGTGATTAGATTTGTTTCCTGGCTTGTGATTCCATAGATGTGAACCAAATAAATCATTTCCTTGTCAACATTCATGCAAAGGACTTCTTCTCCCAATCTCCCCACAAACCACCATTCCAGCCTTGTCCAGCCCATAAACGAAGCCGCCAAAGAGCTATCAAGAGAGGTACTGAATCAACACGAGCTATTGTATTTGACGTTGAAGATACTATATATGCGTTGGCTGTGTTGTCATCACCTTTGAAAATTTGTGCATCCAGGGCTTTGGCGTCAATATTCGCCTCTGCTTCAAGAAGATTGCTAAATAATGTATTTGCACGTGCTAGATTGTCGCAGGAGAGGAATGCACTCGTGTTATAGAGTGGAACCATACGAGACCCCCCTACAGCAAATGTGTCTCTAATTAGTTTCCAGGCGGGTGAGGGGAGAGTTTGTGACCGATCTTCAATAATGATCGCTGAGACCCCTTGAAGAGAGAGGGTACCGATATGTTCCAGATCATGAAGTTCTTCGCGAGTTAATCGCCGAATAATCGTCTCTTGTTGACTGCCGACGAGGTGACGGGAGTGGTTTAGCCGAGTGAGGAGAATTTCCAGCTCCTGAATTAAGCGCTGTTGTAACATTTGTTCCACCTGTTCGAGGAGGAGACCGTGTGTTTCCAACTGGGGTATTGCCATCCAATGCTTTCCTTTGAACATGGTTATCTCTCGAAAAACATACCTAAGGAGACGATCTACCTGTGATCATAGTTTGTCTAACAGCCTCTTTCCAGCATGAAATCCAGAAGTTCTTTCCGCCCACGCGTTTGCTGAACTTTGGATGTTCTATATTGTTGGGCATAAGGTATTTCTGTTTAGTATCAGGATCTTGTACGCCTCCAAATCGAATCATTAAGTCTAATGAGGACAGTTAGATGGATCAAAAGTATGCAGATGTCAAACCTTGAGGAAGTATGGCTCTCGTAAACAAGCACGTCCGGAGTGGGCCGCTCAGCATTCGTGCTGTGATATTCAATGTCAGTTACTTTGAACATGAAGTACTTTTACTCACCATAAGGACTGGCCATTGCTTCCACTTCGACTGGTGTCATCAAACGTCTCCCATTGACGCGTTCCTTCTGTCTTGAGTGGGATGGCAGAACTGGGGGTAATTCCCTGGGAGTATAGAATGCGTCTTTATCCATTATGGGATTCACATCCACTATCAGAGACCTCTTTCGGTCGGGTGCTTGAATGAAAGGCTGGCCGACCATCTTCGTGTTTGGT